CCCAATCCTCACCCTATCGGTATATTTTGAATAAACCGCTAATGACCTTAGATGATAAAGCAATTCTTCAGTAAATAAGTAAATAAAGATATCCGATAACTGCCTACGTCCTTTTCAAGACAGTGAAGCAATTGTGATAGATTGCATTATAAATGGTAAGATTGAACATTTTATCTAGATATTTTAGGATTTTCTGTCAAGTACAAATGTTTAGAGGTCGACACTTTAAATCATAGCACTTTTAGTGGGAGCTGTTTCTCTTTACCTCAGACTTGTTGTATGCTGATTTTCTATGAGATATCTGGGCACTATATCCTCCCTCCCCATTCCTTACTTCTTGTTGCTGGGGGGGAAGGGGAGGCTTAGGAGACGGAGACTGAGGCCCAATGTAGGTGTGAGAGTCGTACTAAAAGGATGAAAGGCGGTCTTTCTGTCAGTCCTGAACGGCCTCCGGGAGCCATGGGGACGGTATTCCCTTGGTTAATAGCCTAGCCCTTACTTCCTATTGGAACCCTTTGGGGTAGAGCATTTCCTTTCCCCACTTATTACAGGCTCATCATGGCCAGTAATTAATTTTGACCCTTTTTAAGGGCATTAAGGAATTATATTCCGAATTATCCAGACAGGTAATTACCCAACCTTCAGAAAATACCCCTTCCTCTCTGCCAACGTCTTCCACTCCATCTCCTGTTGCACAGTTTTCTTCATTGTCTACCCCCCCCCCTTTATTTTTCATCCTTACTGTTCTCCCCACAGTACTACCTCACTCCACATGACGCCGTCTTCCCACCCTCGCTCTTCTACTGCTTACGCCTCTACAAACCTCGATTCTTTCTGATTCCCTCAACAGCCCTTTACTCTGACAATACCCTTCTCTTCCAACAATGTTTCCAAATAGGCAAAGTTTCCTTTCGCAGCCGTTCTCATCGTTCACGCCTTGTCACAAATACATCCGAGTCCCAAGCTCGTGCACTATCTACACTGACTTACCTTACTGGCAAACCTATTCCAGCCGGACCTCACTCCTCTCACAATACTTGCACTGGAACCGTTTCCGTCTCCCCAACTGAAAACCTGCTCGCCTGCCTGGTTGAGTATGATGCAGTGACAGTACAGTGCTACACTATTCCTCCCAAAGTCCTACACCAGTATTGCTAAGATTCGCTTCCATAAACATCATTTCCCCAATAAAGTTAATATTGGTGGTGTCCTGCCCTGTCTGACCATATCGACCCTTCCTTATCAAGGTCAGATATGTTGGCATTTTGGCCACCCAGCCAAACACTCGCTCCATAGCCCGCTGCCCTCTATATGCTCAACCTGATCATGACCATTCAAATTGCTCTGCTCAGTCATGCACGTGTGCCAATTGTGGTATATCCCATAATGTATTTTACAGGAGATGCAATGCCTACTTGCTCGAGTGTGAGGTAGCAGTTCTCAGATTCAAACTAGGCCTCACTTTGAGGGAAGCTAGACAGGAAGTAATCGAGGTTTTCTCTCTACCTATTCCAAAATTGTCCTTCACTCTGCTCCCCTCCCATCATCTCAAGATGTCTCGGCATCCCCCTAGTATCTCTTCCCTCAACCCCAAACCATCCTAACTCTACTCTCTCTCCCAGTCAAAAATCCATTTCCTGTCTACTTCCAGATAATCCCATCTCTACCTTTTCCCAAATGGCTACCCCTCTTTCCCACTTTACCAGCTATATCTAAGCGTTCCACCATATCCTCTACCACATCCCCTTTTCCCGTTGCTGACATACAGGCATATTGTTTTTACTAAATGTGCAACACTATTATATCGAAAAAAGATGGTTTAGTGATCAAATTTAAATTTGGTCTCGTCCACACGATCGGAGTCCTACCAACTGTATGTAATTCTCTCGCTTCTTATGTGTTACCAGATTAGGCAGTACCTATTATCTTTATCGGGAATTCTTGATTTGCGGTCTATAGCGGTACTGCCTTGAGTACCGCTTATGGGGACATACCCACCACACACTGTAAAACTAAATTGGGACGAGATTTGGTAACAATATTTGACCGTGTGGCAATTTAGATCATGTGTACGTGGGGCGCTTATTAAGAATTTCCCCGGACTCACTTCTGCTTATCCTAGGAGGCTGAAATTTCATTAGAGATACACAACTCTACTTGGTCATGATTATAGTCCTGAATTCATGACATGTTTTCTAATACTAAAGTCCGCCTGTTGCGTTTCAAGCTGTAAAGTGACTTCAAAATTCAGTGCCTCATCATGTAGAAAACAGGAATGAATAAATGACAATATACTTGCGACTCGAGTCACCTCAGCATGTTAGAGACGTTTGCCCTTTAAAGAGTACTGCATGGACGGAAAAAGGTGAAAGATGGTGCAAGGTCAGGAGAATAAGAACGCTAATTTTCACATATAAAATATCACCTTTAAATATTCCAAATTCAAGATGATGCAAGGAAAATCTGATATAAACACATGACCCCGAGTCAACAGGCAACATATTTCTGCAGAACTGAAATTATATTCCGTCCAGTCTCAGGAATTTAAAAACTGGCAATACACTCGCGACTCGAGTACCCAGATCAAAGAAAACGTTATATATGTAGTGTTCAAGGCAGCAAAGTTCAATTTTTTAAAATATAGAAAACATGGAAACCAGTATTCAGGATCAGCTGATTAGAATAAAAAGATTCTAAATGAACAGGAATAGTAAAGTCTGGGATGGATTACTAGTTTCTTTATGATTTGAATCTTGGTCTACTTGTCGTCAGCGGTTTTTGTACGTTGGCTTACTAGTCAACTTGGAAATCCGCAACATCAATGGTTCTCGATCTTTTTACACCTTCGACCCCTTCCTCAAATCTTAGACGCATCTGCGACCCCAAACACAGATTTTAAACGAGACACGGTTTTCTCGAGTAGTTATCTAGCCTCTACCTACCAAGAGGATCCTGAGGGGTGGACCATTTCTCTATCCAACATACTCCAGGCTTAACATCGCCAGTAATGAAGACATCACCCTTATTAGGGTCAATGATGCCCTTTATAAACCCCACAGATTTAAATTCTCCCGATTCCCCGACCCCCGGCTCTACTCTGACCACGACTCTGAATATTACCCCCTCCTCAATACCTACTATTACCTCAGTCCAGGCTAATTCATCCTCCAGAAAGCATTCCTTCTCTCGCAACATCTATTTCATCTCCGCCACCCCTAAGCCTCTTCGTTTACTAACCTCTCTTCCCTTACTACTCTACAGCCATACTGTCCATCTCTCAACACACTCCCTCCTCCAAACGTCCCCGCCCTTCTGCTACCCCACGCTACAAACCTCTATTCTTCTGAATATCATTTAGCCCAGACTAATAGGACCGATTTTTTGATACCCTCTACAGCCCCTTACTCTTATAACCCTCTCCTCTTTCAGCAATGCCTCAAAAAAAGCAAGGTTTCCTCTACAGATCGTTCCCGCCTCGTCAGTTACATGTAAATCCCAAGCTAAAGCATTATCAACCCTAATTGACTTCAATGGTAAACCCATTCCTGCTCAGCCTCGTCACTCCCTCAATACATGTACCCAAACTGTTTCCATCTCCCCAACAACCTACCCGGTGTACGACAAGGGCTGGTCTGATTGTGGAGAAGACCTACTTGCCAGCCTCGTGGACTCTGGTGCCGTGGAACCGTTAACCCGAGTTGCCCAGGGCGTCTCGGGTGATACATGGTCGCTCTGCCACCCCGCTCCCTGGACATTAAGAGCAAAAGACCCAAAATGGATGGGGATCCAATTTCGATGCAGTAAAAAGGAACATTTTTCTTGGTTTAGATTACAGAATAATTTTTTGGTTTCTACAAATAATTTCCCAACTCAAAAAATATATAGAGAGAGAAACATCAAGGTCAAATAGCATAAACCGCGGTAAAGGCAATGTTTCCCGGGGGCTGAGGGACGCCCAGTCACGGCAATTTAGATGGTTGAATAAGGTTTGGGTCTTAGTCTCTGGCGTTTGCATTGCCATTTTCCAAATGAACACTACAGGAAAAAACATAATTATCAGTAACCATCTCTCGGAAAGCAGGTCATGACGTCTCACAAGAATGTAAAGAAAAGACAACATGACAAATGAATCAACTGAGAGATGATCTCGCTTCAGATTTTGATGAGCGAATAAATATGAATGTGTGATGCTATTGCAAAATAAAGATATAAATGGATCTCGTGAAGTTACTGCCCCTGTTTCACACCTACATTTTCTCAAATCGGTATAGTTTTAATTTCCCACAGCCATATACTACAAAGTAAAATTTGCTTGTAGTGAACAGAAAAGCCGAAAATAAGACACTCTCCATTTATGGAATTTCTTTCGCAAGTTGATAAGAAAGTTGTTCAACACGTAATACTTTCGTGAAAATTACAGTAACTAATAAATAATCTACGTAGGCATAAATAATGCCAGACATTAAGAATTTTTATCATATGGTGATGTTTGTGAATTTTGCAGGAAATGGCTGGCACATTCACAACCCTAACACAGAAATCAGGGGCCGGATACTCAAACGCATTACGACGCCGTAGTTTACGGACGAGTGTTCCTACGACCCACACACAGAGCAAGGGACCGCCATATTGGTACAAGTTAAGGCACCGTAGATTAAGGCAGGGCGAGAGCAGCCCGAGCGGGTTACGGCGAACCATAAATGACATTTTTTTTTTGTCTTAAAACAATTAATACTATATTACGATTTGTATTTTACTCAATTATCGTTGATTTTCCAGGAATGGCTAGAATTGGGAAACATGCAAATGCTTGCAGTGACCCCGATTTTCAATAATTTTGAGTCGCAGCTATAATCATTTTTGCTCGCATTCAATTTTCATTTTCGCTGATATTTGAATTCCAACATAACCAACACAACAAAGCAAAACAAAGCCCATCCATATCTAAAAGGAAACATGGATAACAATCACTTAATTATTGTCACCATAACACCGCTACTATGAGTAAATATTCTTCATTTTTTGACAACTTTTGATTTCTGCTTTCTTTTCGTTTGTATTACTATTTATATTTATATAAAAACTCAAATAAACTGGAATGACCACGACCTGGTCGCTCGCCGCTCGCTGCCTGCAGTTCGCTCCTCTTAGGTCGATTACTTTGAAGAGAAAATATCACTGTTGCTCGCACCATAAATGTCCTTTGCTCGCAGGTCGCACCCTATATATTGTTGCTCGCTACGGTGCGTCCGCGAAAAACGACATATTTGCCAACCGGGGTAATAACAGTTTAATCTTAGAGGTGTAAAGTCATTTTGTAAACATTATCAAGACTTTTATGGTAATTTCTATATTACGTCCGCATGACCGATATCGACGATTTTGGTATCGTTGGATTCCTCTCACTCTATACAATGCAAATAGATAGTTTTTATTGCGCGCTAACCCCCCGTTAGCGAGAAACTTGGCCCCGATAGCAGGGGAGGGCATGAAAGGTTCCAGGGAAAATGCGGGGTTAAATAGCACTAATAATATAACGCACAGTGAAAATAACCATGGTTATTCACATAACTTTCCATATTAACCATGGTTATTCATATAACTTTCCATTGCAGGGGGCTGTGCCCCCTGCGACCCCCCGGGGGTCGATGTTACACCGATGGCCTCAAAGTCGAGTTTCCCTTCCTCTGGAATAACGACATTCGTATTCCTAACCGAAATAACCGTCGCGTTCAGAAGTCAGTCATAGTCGCCGCGATGGCCGAGTGTGGAGGGTGCTCGTACTCCGAGACGGATTTTCTGCGCGAGATTGCCATAGCCAAGAAAAAATGCTAGATATGTGCTTCCGCCACGGCCTCCTTCGTCGTGAAAAGATTGCGGCAGGTGCGGGCAGCCAGCACGGCTAGACCTGAAGAAGAAACGATTCAGGTGTGATAAGGCCGTGGCGGTCAGGAGGCAGAAGAGGCAGAGGTGTGACTGGTCTGCTTCGATGTTCGTGGGCTCTTTCTTTGCGCAATCTCGCCTCGATGTTGAGACCCTGCTGATCTTCGTGATCTTCTTCGTCCGGGAGAGGTTCACGTTCCGGCTCATGCGGCACGAGCTGGGCCTGAGCGCAGCGACCTTCACCGACTGGTCGAGTTTCTGCCGGGAGGTGATGGTTCACTGGGCTCTTGATCGGCAGGGTATGATCGGCGGCCAAGGAAAGATCGTCGAGATAGACGAGAGCAAGTTCGGGCGCCGCAAGTACAACGTGGGCCGAGTGATTGACGGGCAGTGGGTCTTCGGCGGTATCTGCAGGGAGACGCGCGATCTCTTCCTCGTCCCGGTGGAGGATCGGACCAGCGACACTCTCCTTGCAGTTATTAAGGAACGGATCGCCCCGGGGTCGATCATCATCTCCGATTGCTGGAAGGCCTACAACTGCCTCTCTGACGAGGGGTTCGAGCACCTGACCGTCAACCACTCGTACCACTTTGTAGATCCGGACACGCAAGCTCATACGAACACGATCGAGCGGCAGTGGAGGGAGGCCAAGAGGAAGGTACCGCTCTGTGGCCGCAGGAAGAAGCACTTCGCAGGGTACCTGGCTCGGTGCATGTTCCTCATGCACTACCAGGACCTGAATGTGAGGTTGCATCACTTCCTGTGTGCTGCAGCGTCGCTGTATCCTCCGGCCTAGGACCTCCTGCCGGACGCACCCTGCCTCCTTCACATTTTGCGGCAAAGGAGCACCCTCCCTACTAATTAGCGGCATTAATAAATCAGGTTAGTACCTTAAAAATCCTAGGTTATTGTAGGTTATCGGCTCCGCATCTAGTTCGTGTGCGCTCTATCCTGCCGTGAATACGTGGAGGTTTTGTTTCCTCGGCGGGGGTTGGGGGGCGGCAGCCCCCCCAGGGGGGTCGCAGGGGGCGCAGCCCCCTGCAATGGAAAGTCATGTGAATAACTAGGATTATTTTCACTGTGAGGTTAAATTATTAGGGTAATTTTCTATATTACGTCCGGCGCTCCGACATCGTCGCCCCGCAATCGGGACCAAGTTTGTCGCGCGCAATAAAACCTATCTATTTGCATTGTATAGAGTGAGAGGAATCCAACGATACCAAAATCGTCGATATCGTCATGCGGACGTAATATAGAAAATTACCTTTTTTTTTTTTAATCCCAACTTTTAATCACTCTGTTTGACCATGGTAACATGCATGAATATTTTTAAAAAAATACTAACTGGAGACAAATGGCTTACAGAAGGCATTATCGGCGCATTCTAATATATCTGTCGGCAAGAGACAGCCTTTGTATGATTCTATTCTTTATAAATTAATTTTAACAATATACTGTAGCTATATGTAAGCCTTATATAACAACGAAATGGGAAAATGCCGTCTCGACATTTGTAAACACATTCCTTACCTGACGATGAGAGAGAAGCGTCGTCACCTCTTTGTTGTTAGCTGGGTCAATGATTATAATGATAAACTGGAACTTTCAATAACAAAAAAATAATGTTCCCATTTTGTTTATGTATATGAATAAATTAACGAAAATGAATTAGGCAAATACTCACGACTTGTGAGGCAACTTAATAGATTATATACTTATCCTCCCTCGTTAGAAAAACGGCTTGTTTACATTTTGAAAATCGTAGTTTCCCGAATTAACTTTACCAAGCCTATACACATACCTATACAGGGGTGGTCTGGCATCAATAAATGCAGAGTGGGTAGCAAACCAAAAGGGCCCGGTTCAGGGTGTGGCAGATAAGATTATTTTAACTACATCTACTAATATATATATATATATATATATATATATATAATATATATATATATATATTATATATATATAATATTATATGTATATGTATGTATGTATGTATGTTTTATATATATATTATATATATATATATATATATATATATATATATTATATATATATATATATATATATATATATATATATATATATATATATATATATTATATATATATATATATATATATTATATAATATTATATATATATATTATTATATATATTATATATATATATATATTAATATATATTATTATTATATATATATTATATATATATTATATATTTTTTATAATATATTATATATATATATTATATATATATATATATATATATATATATATATATATATATATATATATATATATATGCGTGTGCGTGTGTGTGTGCGCGCGCGCGCACGACTTTAGATTAAACGAATTCAAAAAAGCAAAATTTCATATATGGAGGCGGAGCCTGATGCCGGGCGGGCCAGTGGGGAAGAGTAGTAGGTTGTCTTCATAGAAACAGTTCCGGTACTAGTATTAAAGTGGTCCAACCTTAGGAAAGAAAGAAAAAAGGCGACTCAGCTAGACCAAATTTTCCGATTCGCCTAGTCTCGTTTTTATTCTAATCTGTCACCTAATACTTGTTTGTACGTCTGTCTGGTATTTTAAAAGATATATGCAGTACTTTTTATTGTTGTACACCATTTTTTCTCCCTCTCACAATACACTGAGTGAGTTGGATTGCTCAAAATTCCAGAGTTGAGATGCCAGTCTGCCCTTTCATAAAGATAGGACGGTGTTGTCCCCGATAACAGATGCAATGTATGATGCATTATAGGGAGAATGTATGTAATGCTACAGAATAATGGTTTTCAAACGAAATTCATCCGCAACATACACATTCTGGGTAATAATTGTAATATTACTAATAACAACAATGAGGATGAAGAGAATAGTAACGACGATAACCGTACACAAATCGTAATGAGAAACATTCTTAAGATATTTATCAGTAACATTAACCATAGCAATATCATGAAACTTGATTCAATTTTGTTTCATCTGATAAATACTTCTCTTTCTATTATAAGTAGTAATGTCAATTTTACATGTACAAAATCTATATTTAAAAAAAATCATGCAACATAGCTCCTGTATATGATGTCGCACAAAGTATAAAGTAACCACGTAAATCACATCTCGTAATACCTAAAATACACTGTAAGCCGTATCATATACTGATAAATAAGACAATAGCGATTAAATCTTGAACCTCCCATACACAGGGGGATAGGGGAGGAGGTGATAGCCCAGGGAGATACCACATGACGAAATAGCCATGTTTTTTTTTATAATCAGATTGCTTCTTAATGGGATGTGGTTTTAATTGGCTTTATATAATATATTTAATGCTTTACAATTACCGATTTGATATATATTCATTGAAAATTCTCTGTTGCGTTTGTTTACGCTTAGGGACTGTGCAGTATCTCCCGACCCATTTTTTTAATGCTAATTTTTAAAACTGAATCGGTAATCATAGCTAATCATCCTTGAGAATCTGAATTCCTTGGCACATGAAAAATGCTGTATGTTGAAGTGATCCTTCATCTTATTAAACTTCTGTTGATCTCCCTTTCCACTTTAAATTTGTTAAGGTCTGCCGTGTGACGAATCTACAAGGGGGAGGGGGGGGGGATACAACTGTACCCTCTTGAGTAAATATAGTGCGCGCTACAGTTCCTCAACTCATGTGCTTTTTCACTCACAATGACATTTGTTAAGTGTTTTAATATGTGGCGATATATAATGTGACTTATTCCGAAACCTTAAAAAAAAGTCGAAGTCATTTTCAACCGAGACCATTCGCTTCCTTTTATTTTTTAATATTCGATTTCAAGTTAGGAAACTGGCTTGTCCTCCAAGTCCTTCCATATATCTAATAATATCCACGAAGTTCAGAAAACATGATAGCTCCAGGTTAATCAAATACTTGTTAAGATTTTCCTCTTTTATTTGAGGTTTTCATTTGGTTATACGTCACTGACATGCTTTACTAAAACACCAAAACACTACATAGAACATAAAAACCAATTTGAGTACTCCTTTGTAGAAAAATAACAGCCTGAAAATCAAATCAGTCCTTACACACACACTAACATGATCATTCATTCCCGGAACACATCTATGCAATTATCC